TATATACCGTACAAATGATTTGGTAACACTTGAATTAAAGCCTTTATGTATAATGCATTATAAAAGTATTCATAATGTAGATTGTAATGCATTATATCATTTCATAAATAATTGCAAACTGCATTGTACAATTTAAAGATTTGTTTGTCATGTGTTTTAATCCATTATACTTTCTAAAGATGTAACAATAAATAGATAAGTGTATTTGTATTATGTACACAGTTATAATGTATTTATGAGATCATATATGATGCATCACAATACATAATTAATGCATTAATACTACTATTATAATGCATGATATTTAAAGGCTGTAAGTAAAGTGTTACCAATTTTCAAAACAGATTTTTAGAATACAAGAAAGCTGCATTTATTTAAAAAAAACAATGCAAAAAATGTAATGGCTAGTGACTAATATATATAAAATTCACAATATTGGTGTTTTTGAACACACATGCAGCTTTGGTGAGCATAAGAGACTTTTTCAAAAACACTTTTGACAAGTACTTTTATCAATCAAACTGGCATTGCAAGGTGTGGCAAATACTTAATGTTGGACCCTGGATGTAAAGTAATTTCTCAGTGTAGGTTGTTGTGTGCTGTCACTCATGTGCTTTGACGACCACAGCTGTTGTGGTGTACGAGAAGGGGCTCAGAAGAAGAGCCAGAGTGTAATGACGATGCCCCTCGGCATGAGCCTCAAACACCACCTGCAAAAAACCCCAAAGAACCACTGAGAAACACAAAGCTTATCTGGAAGATAAAAGTTTCTTTACATACATGTGTATCTGTCAGTGCCTGTGTGCTCAGTATGTTTGTGCATGTATGCAGGTGTTGTCCTTGAATGCTCTGTCCTCTTATCTAAAACTGTCCATTACTGTGTCTATAGAAAACAAGATATAGAATCTTAAATATTTACCTCCCCACAGTTAATATAGCTCTTGGTTCACATCCAAGACAATCATTCATGGTATTAATATACACATATTTGCTGCAAAAAACGGCCTTATGCAAATCTAGTAGGTTGGTGTTATAAATAATAATAAAAAATAGTCCCAATAGTAAGGGGGCTATGAAAATTCTTGTGGTTTAGGTGCCTTGATTACAACAATAACCCATCATTTAGCAACCATTAAATGCTCATGAATATAGAAGTGCCATCAAAGCATTACTTACATCGGCCACCTGGTGAAAAGGTGTACGACCCTCCGCCTTCCAGTAGGCTTTAGTGTCAAACTCCACCCGATACACACCAGGAGTGAACTCCTCCTCGCTGATCAAGCTGTGCACCTCTCCCGTCATGTCCACTTTCCTGTGTGAGAGGAAGAGCTCATTAGTGATAATGGCACTGACAGGAAAGAGGAACCATGAGGATGTGACTAAAAATGAAGTGCAGGATAGAGAATAGAGCCGTTTGCCCTACAAAGACAAAACCACAGTAATGCCAGCATTAAAACAAACTATTATTTTTTATACAAAAATAAATAATAAAAATGCTTTACTGTTTCCTATAAATTTGTATGATTTCAGGACAAATCATACTATTAATCAGTGTTATTTTAGTGTCATTCATGTACTATAGTTTTTGTTAATATTTTTTAAGTTAGATTGTATTTATATATTTTCTGTTCTCGCTTTAATTTTAAAGTTTTTGTAATTTTGTTGTAGTTTTAGTTTATTTACTTTGTTATTTTAGTACTTCAACAAACTAAACAAATAATGTCTTAGCAACTAACTGAAATTTTTTACTTTTAACTTAACAATTTTTTATTATTTTATTTTTATTTTGGCCAGAGAGACCATTAGCCCATTTTAACAGTTTATTATTATTATTATTTTTTTTTGCAGTTTTTATGGTTTTAGATAGCAATACTAACCCCACTATCAATTTTACAAATGCAATTACTGAGGTCAAATTGAGCCCAAACAGAATGAACATTAATACAGAATTACTATGGATCGTCCACTGGGTTCTAATTAGGTCAGATGAAAAATCTGAAATGTAATTAATGTTATTAATATAATTATATATTTGCATCAAAAGTCTTCATAGAGCATGACGGCTAATGTGATCTTACCCACTGGCGATCTTTTCCCATGTCCCACCTTGATTTTGGCGATAGACATCCAGAGCTATATTTCCAGCAGGAATTTAGCAACCATTAAATGCTCATGAATATAGAAGTGCCATCAAAGCATTACTTACATCGGCCACCTGGTGAAAAGGTGTACGACCCTCCGCCTTCCAGTAGGCTTTAGTGTCAAACTCCACCCGATACACACCAGGAGTGAACTCCTCCTCGCTGATCAAGCTGTGCACCTCTCCCGTCATGTCCACTTTCCTGTGTGAGAGGAAGAGCTCATTAATGATAATGACAGTGACAGGAAAGAGGAGCCATGACGATGTGACTAAAATGAAAATATGCAGAATAGAGAACAGAGCGGTTTGCCCTACAAAGCCAAAACCACAGTAAAAGAAACTCTGTGTGTGTGTATATATATATATATATATATATATATATATATATATATATATATATTTATATATATATATATATATATAAAACACAAACTGTATTTCAAAGGTTTCAGGTCAGTACGATTAAAAAATAAATAAATTAATACTTTTATTCAACGAGGATAATACAGAATTACTATGGATCGTCCACTGGGTTCTAATTAGGTCAGATGAAAAATCTGAAATGTAATTAATGTTATTAATATAATTATATATTTGCATCAAAAGTCTTCATAGAGCATGACGGCTAATGTGATCTTACCCACTGGCGATCTTTTCCCATGTCCCACCTTGATTTTGGCGATAGACATCCAGAGCTATATTTCCAGCAGGAGTCCCTTTCACAGCATCCAGGATCTTTACTGTCAGAGGGCAGAGAACATCTGAACCACCATGAAAAGCCTGGAACACAGTCAATGTGCATAGAAATGCTCCTAAGTTTAGTTCAGTCTAAACATGGTGCTTAGTCTTTCTGTATCTCATTTAGGTCTGGAAATAGAACCTTGTGCTTGGGATGATCTTATCTTTAGATGAATGGCTTTGTTGTATTCCTAGTAAGTTTCTTTTGGATAAAAGCATCTGCTAAAGTCAAATAATGGAAGCAGCTGTATCAGCTCTAAGCCGTTTGTTAGGTCAGTGACCGCCTGGACGTATAGCTGTGTATATGTGTGTTTTCCCAGTACAGAGTTTACTGCAGCACTTTGTAGTATGGCAGAACGCAGATAACATTGTGACCCATATGTTAGCCTGTCCAACAACTGAAAGTACCTTGTCTCACCCAGAAGGGGCCAATTTAGGAGACATTTTATCTTTCATATACATTTCATAGATTTTGTGTCACTGCCAAGTTAAATATAACTAAAAGGTGCTGTAAGAGATTTCAGCCGGTTCCTCTCTCCAAAATTCACTCCTCCAAAGACCTGAACATGCAAAATCAAACAGAAAGCAATTCTTATTGGCTAGTTTTCTTATTCTTAAGAACCTTAACCGCCTTTTTTAGTTGTATGCACAGCCTATGGCTGACAGGAAGACAGTTGTGATCTCTCATATAATTCACATTTTTGTGGTTCTCAGAAGTGGAAGCTGTCATAGTTTGGTAAATTTTTAGTGCTGAATAGATACTACAACAGATATATTTTTTTGTGTTCCCATTTGCTTCAGTAGCGAAACTAAAAAATACACGATAGTATTTCTATACAAATGAGGGAAGAAAAATAGCGATTGGACAAATTTGCCATACATAATATACATATATATATATATATATACAGTGGGTACGGAAAGTATTCAGACCCCCTTAAATTTTTCACTCTTTGTTATATTGCAGCCATTTGCTAAAATCATTTAAGTTAATTTTTTTTCCTCATTAATGTACACACAGCACCCCATATCTGAAGAATTTAACAAATAAAAAGCTTTGCGAGGTTTGCAATGCTAATAATTATGGAAATGTCATCACAGTCTGCATGTGAAAAGTGGATTTTTATGGGAGATTTTATTATGAATAAATAATAAATTCCATTTACACAGTCAGAACTCTCTATAAGATATTATTCATGACATACAGAGAATTCATACAATTGCACTTGCTCTTAGCCTTGAATGGGTCACTTTAACGAAACTGAATGTCATATTTATTGCTTTTGAAAATATGTAAGTTCCTGTTATATAGCTCTATTCTATACAACAAGCAATTGAACTTACCACTGGTGCAGATCTACAGCAGGCAAAGAGAGATGCAAGAAGAACACAAATCACTGCTTTAGCCATGTTAAAGCACAATTGCATGAGATAAAAACCCAAAATGCCCTTTATTCAGCTGCCGACCCTGTCATCAGGTGACTCAAGGGGTATCTGCGGTGCCCTGTTGACACAGTAAATAAACAGGGGAATCAGTAACTTCATA